GGGAAGCTGAATAATTAAACCACCTTGCACTAAAACTTTAAACTCACGCTGACATGATGAAAGTGAACAAAAACTGAATATTATTCTCACTAGATAGATAGATATTTTTTTAATTAGTAACAGCCGCTCGCCTTATTTTTCAAATGTCTTGCTCTAGAACTGTTACACTGTACTTCAAGTCGCTTGCTATTTTGAATTCAATCCGTTTCGGCGGAAAAGAGGATGGACTAGCTTTATATTCTTCAGTTATTATGTCGCCGCTACGTGTCACATTACAGGAGGCCAAGCTAATTGCCTTTCCTTGCCGTAGGGCTGAAAGATCTAAAAGCCAGCTAAATAGCAACATGTTTTTATTATTTTGTATTTTTAATTTAAATCGCATGTTTCCTGTTACCAAAAAATTGTACCGTCACACAATGTCATAAACTAATATATTATAAAAACCTTTAGTTTGGCTATTTTTACCTGGCTTTTCTAATTGTTCTTCTAATCCCAGAACAAATAATTTATTCAGTTTTACTCAATGGATTTGAATGAAAGCTATATTGGGCAAGACTTCATGATCATGACATGGTACTGTTTGTTACTAAAATAAGGCTATACAGAGTAATTCCGTGATTCGAACTCTATATACTCCCACTCTATCCTGCTGAGTAACTCTGCCTTGTTGTGCTCAAGATTTGTATAAAAATTATTTTTCAACACTCCGACCTTGAACGTCCTTCCGAAAGTCCGAGAGTCATGTTTTCTAGCACGTTTAAAGATAACCGGCGTTAAATGTACTCTCTGACATCCATCACGTTTCTTCCTTGGTAGTTACAGCCAAACAGGATGTTTACGTTATTTTTGGGGTTTCATTTGCCAGTTCAGTATTCATCCTGGTTCAAAATTCATGAAGTCTTTACTTTTTGAAAAACACACTATGACGCCTATTCACTCGTCGTTTCGCTTCGGAATTGCCTGTTCTTGAGGTAACACAATAAACTGTCGACAAATTGCCTAGGTTTAATTGACGAAGTAAAAAGAAAACAAAAGTTCTGAAAAATGCAATTTAGGACTAAGACAGTGCTTTTCGACTACTCTCAGGGTTAGAAAAGCGACCAGCTCAGCATGTATATCATCAGCTTACTCACGTTTCAGAACAATTGGATGAAATATCAACACTGATGTTCTGTGATTGTTATTTGAATTCCGCTTTTCCTTTTATTTTGTTTCATTTTCCTATTGTGTGGTACTTAGTAACACCTCTCCGGGGCTTTTCTTGCGTTTTGCGCTAGAAAAAACCCCGGGCATTTTGCATGGGTACATTAATTTGTTCTCGCTTTAAATTTTTAGTTACATCACACTTCTCTTTGCAATACACCACTTTCGATATATTAAAATTCAGCATGGCAGCGAGGCTTGGAGGACACAAACAAAGGAAATTGAATGACTTGTTCATTCATTTGGCCTATTAGAGATGTTTCTTTGTTGTAGTGTACACATAGATACAAATTGCCATAACGTCGTCAAGATGTGCCCGGCTAAATTCTCCACACACATCCGTTTGAGCCTGAATTGAACTTCCCTTAGTGTTAAAGCTCAACTTCCCTTAGTGTTAAAGGATCGACAGATCCCTGTTGGTCACAAACTCCTTTTTAAGGAAGTGTAAGTCAGACCATATATTTACATCATCGGCGACCCCTGTACACCCTATAAATATAAACACAACTGATACATCATCCTTGAAGTTGCGAAGGCATTTCATTTCGTGTTAAGCTACCGAAGAAGCGTGAACCTTAACATGGCTTCTGGAGAGTCCAATTTCTTGGTGTATTCAGTTTTACTACTGTGTTTGTTGGGGTTCGCAAGTACAGCAGCAGCAAGCGACAGTAAAGTTGGCTCTGTAGAAAAGAAGAAGGTATTCATTACTGGGCAGCGCATCGAAGTTATCATTTCGTCAACCAAAGAGGATACGAATGTTTCGCTGAAACAAATTTTACAAAAGCTGGAGTCGATGAACGCTGAAACTAAGAAACTGGTCAAAGACGTTCAAGCTTTGAAAAGACAAATCCACACATTGGACGACAAAGGTAATTTACTCGTTACTCGATATAGACAACAATGCATATTATGGATATTTGTAGTGATATAAATTTATAAAAAGTATGACGTGCTGGGGCGGCCCGGGTGGCGGGAGCGGGGACGGGGGGGGACTGACGTATAAAAATGGCGGGGATGCTCGTCGTACCTTTTAGGGGTCAAAAACGCTGTTTTGGTTTCTCCTAGGCTGTTTAGCCTCTAAAGGTCCACAGCGGGAGCTTTTGGGGTACCTTTTAGGGTATTGAGCCGAAAAAATATGACAGGCAATAATGTGTTGTGTAAGAATTGGTATCCCTTAGTGAAGAAAAATATTTCAAGCCACGACCCCAAAACCGGATATATATATACATGTTAGGGGTTCTTTTCAAAATTTCCGACGAGTAACCCCGTTCTTTTTATATGGGAGTACCTCCCCCCTCCGGTGCTGGCGGTTTTCTTCGCAGATTTTGCAGTGTCACTTGTTATAATTGTTCATGTCAACTATAACGCGACCTGAATTCAGTTTGCCTGGGCTCCTTTGTCACCCTTTTCACGCAATTGTTTCTACCCATGCCGTGATATATATTCAAAACTAACATCTGCCTCACACGAATGTCTGAATATAACCCGGGTACGTAGGTTAGGCAGGGATGGCTGGGATTATTAGTTCAAATGATAAAAATGACTAGTGTAAAAACAAGACTTCATAACACAAATAGTAAAATTTCAGACATTTAACCCTTAAGTGGTCAGGAGAACCCAGCCAAGGAAACTATAAAATAATTAACTTGTTTTATTTGGAGACGTGTTCTTGTTTTACAATGCGCTGCTTGTACATGTGTTGTTAACTGTCCTCTTTTATGTATTTCTTCATTCACTAATGGTGTAGTTGGAAATGCCTTGCTGTTTCCGCGTCGGGGAAAAAGCGACTACGTCATTATCCGTGGCAGCATGCCGAATCTCTCAGCTTTGACAGCTTGTTTGTGGATGAAAGCCGCTGATACGAATATAGGAACTCCCCTGGGCTACGCTGTGTCTGATCAGGATAACGAGTTTATCATCTACAACTACAAGTCATTTATGTTGTTCGTAGGAGGTAGCTACAGGTCAGTGAAAATGCCTATAAGGAATACCAGGTGGGAGGTCGAGACTGTCTATATATAGATATTTGTTTGGTGCTCCATAGTCCAGACTAAACTTCCAGGATAGTTCAGTGCTTTAAGGCAAAACTGTCGAAAACCTTAGAGGAATGGGTTTAGGGCCAAATTTTTCTAACGGGTTTTTCCTTGCCCATATTGCCTTGCTTGTTGCCTTGTTTTCTTCCAGAGAGACGTATGTTTCTGCCATTGACGGGAAGTGGCACCACATCTGCGCAACATGGGAAAACATGGCTGGATCTTGGAAGTTGTACAAAGATGGTGCTGTTGCGGATCAAGGTCAAGGATTGCAGAAAGGTAATATACATTGTGCGTATAGATTTAGCCAAGCCTTAAAGCGGAGCTCCTGGTTACAATATGTTCACCTATCTTGAGCTTGCCATGTAATCGAGAACCAGTACCTGGGCAGCGGTCTACTTTAAAAATACGGTCATGTAATACTTTTTCAGGGAATACCTTGTTTTGACAGGGGTCAATTGACCATAATATGGGTGTCCAATATCAAAGAAGTACGCTGTAAACTAAGATTGCATGTCTCCGTCTAGCCTGCCAGCATGCAGGCGCCCGGCGAGCGCGAACGAGGCGAGGGAGCCTGTAGGCATTCTACTGATGCCGCCTTTCCATAATACCATGATCTGATTGGTTAAATCGCTGATTGTTGACATGTTTGAGATAAATGTTCGACATATCTTCGTAAAATGCGGTTGAAATTGATTGCCCCGCAAGACTCCAACGGTTCTTGCCATCTGTGCATTTGCCATTGTCTTTTAATTTTCTGTCTCTCGACCTTTCCTTAGTTCACACGTGTTCCTGAAATACACTTTAATTGTGCTGTATGAGGAGGAAGTTTAAGTAGATGAACCATTTGACTGTGCTATAGCAATTGTTTTTTAGAGGTCAAAGGCCTGCATGGCTTCTGCATGTCGCTCCTCAGATATTAACACCCCAGGCTCTGTAAATTACCATGTTCTTATACTTTGTTTAGGCTTATTTCTATTGCAAAATATGTTTCAAGCTCTCATGAATTGACTCTAGAAGGACAAAGTTTGAAATTTCCCATAAGCTTGCTTCCACTCTAAACTATGACGCCGGGCTCGGCTGTTTGATTAGAACAATATTTGCAAGTACTGATTTGTTACAGGCTAATCACCAAGCTAAGGGCAGATAGGCACGCCAAAAACAGTCTACAGGCTCCCCCGCCCTGCCTCGATTACTTCACTCTCCGAACTCTTCAGTTTCGCGCTCGTCGGCTCGTTTTGCTCGCCTAATTTTTTTTTTAGTCTTCGCCGGGAGCCTGTTTGCAGGCTAGTCTCCGTCAGCTTATTAGCTGGAGTATGACCACCATGTTGCCCGACTTCTCCATATTTCGCCATCGTTGGGCGCAAACGCCCGTCATCCATACCACTAGTCATGTTGTTCCTGAAAAGAGAGTTGCATGGTTTCTATTTCTATGCGTACAAGTGGTTTTGTTCCTATAGTTATGGTGCTCCGCTCGGCGACCCCTTTAGGCCGCCAGAGCTCCGCTATGAGTATGGTGCTCCGCTTGCCGGCTCTTCGGGCCGCCGGAGATCTACTAAAAATTCAACTTAAGAGGAAAGAAAACCGTTAGGTATACCTTAATAACAATAGTAAGCGATAATTTGCTAGAATCAGCACTTTTCCCTATTTCAATGGTGAATTAATATTTCCTTTTTTAACTCAATGGAAATTCCTTTTTGTTTGGCACACGGGAATCACGCACTTGCAGGCCTACGCCGGGACCGTAAGTCGCCGTAACTTAAGGCGACTTTGGGCGATTTAAGGCGACTTTAGGCGACTTAAGCAAAATTGGAAGAAAAAACGTTGCGACTTTAGGCGATGTAAGGCGATTTTAGGCGACTTAAGGCGACTTACACGTAAGGCGACTTAAGGAGATTTTAGGCAACTTAAGGCGATTTTAGGCGACTTGAGGAGACTTTACTTCACTCAAGTGATATAAATTTAAACTTAGCAACAATCTCTCCATATATCTCTCGCAATAAACCAATATTGTACTAATACTGGTACATAATTAAGTCACCACAGTCTCAAATATCCAGGACCAGGTCGTTCAAAGCCTGATTAAACTAACCCAGGATTAGAGAGAATTTTGATTACTTTCATTTTTGTAACTTTTCGGTCCAGTTTTCTGTTTATGCTGTTTGTCTTTCAGTTTGAGTTTGATTCATCTTAAAACTACACAACCATAAGCAGTGAGAGATCTTTCTGCAAAAAAAAATGTATATATATATATATATATATATATAAACAATGGTATCAAGACTTCAATTCATCGTTTTATTGCGACAACGCTGTTTCGTATGGTCAGAGGGTGGGAGAGGGTGAGAGGGTGAGAGGGTGGGAGGCTGGGAGGCTGGGAGGGTAGGAGGGT